ACAAAAACACTTATCAAATGCGATGAATTAGTAAACACCACTCTTAACCATCACCACTTAGATATTCCCAGTCAAGAACCCCTAACCCCTCCTCACTAACTTACGCCATACTCAGGTCACCTCCCGCCTCCCCGAGGACCGCTTTTTCCTCTTCTCCTCTGAACCACCTTAATAAACAGTATTCCTACATATGTGGCCTCTCCTATTTCATACAAGCATTGTGGGGATTCATAGAGGCTCCTCTTACAGAAGATTTCATGTAATTTTTGTGCATAGCAAGAACTCACTGTTAGCTGCTACCATTGTTACGAAGGTATTTCTCCCTTTTTTTAGCATGGTATTTTGCCTTGGTAGACACTCAAGAAATGCTTGCTTTTGTTGATGACATTGGCAGGTTTCAGCTAACGATCTATTTGTCCACATTGCCTCCTGGAATGGGGTTCCAGTCTCCTTATTTCCTGGATATCCTAAGTTGCTAATGAAGTCTGTGGGCGCTCAAGATTTGGACCCCCACCAGCTCCGCTCCCTGAGTGCTAGACGCTGTTATCCGTGGATCACAGATAACCTTCTGTTTCAGGCTCAACTGCTCCTGATCCCCAAACCTTCCCTGCCATAATCATGGAGAGATATGTTGAGGTCTTTACAAACCAAGTATTAATCCTGGGACTTTTCTCCTGAGACCTTGAAGGCCAGGGAATTTCCTCAATTTCAGGAGTTTCAGAGGAGGAACATTCAGAGGAACAAGGGAAAGGGAAGAAAGCTCAGGATAGACAGGGGTGGGGAGAGCGTGCAGGGCAAGGGCAATATGTATTAAGCAGAGCTCCTACTATCCCCTGGGCACAGAGGCTAAATAAGTGATCTCATTTAATGACACCTTCAGGACAGAAAAATACTATTATCCCTAGTTTACAGATTAGGAAAGTGAGGCCTAGAGATGGATTAACTTGTCCAAAGGGGCAGATACTGGTGTTAGAATGTGGAATTTTAACCCCAGGTCTTCCTGATGTTAAAAAGCTGTGTTTGTGACAGAAGTTAAATCTATCTATTTTAAACAGCTTCATTTATATTTATATTTGATTTCATTTAATTGAATTAAAAAACATACTCCATACACTTACATGTCTAGGTCCTCAGTTAATAATTTCAAGAACTGAAAGCAATGACTTATTCAGAATGGCGTGTATCAAGTTTGGTAGCCACTCTGGATGATGGGCTCAATACAGGGTCTTAAGTTACTAATACTTAGAAAACAAATATATACCAGAAAACTTAGGGAAAAGAAACTGACCTCAAAACCGCTACTGTTCTGGTAATAAAATAATATGACACATACACATGTATGAAGAAGAGTGCCTAAATTAGCACACGTGTTTTGTTCAGGGAATTGAAAGTTTTGGCTGGTTATAGAAATCATTCCAGTAGGATCAGTTCTCTCTTGGTGGCTCATCTGTGGCTATATTGTTAAGAGCTACTTGCTCCAATATGATTTCTAAAAAAGTGTATTCTTTGCAGTATCTTTTACCTTAATGTCAACTGAAGTAAAAACATCTTAAATGAGGTCGGTTTTCATGTAATTATTAGCAACCCCAAGATGGCAGTGACTCCATTTGGACTTATTACTGTTATTTGTCACAGATACGAACGGAGGCAAAGCCGCAAACACACAGCAAATTCTCAAGGGAAGAGATAACACTTAGTGATAATGGAAAAACTGGTCTCACTTATGCTGTTCTACGCAAACACATCCCTTTCAAATAGTCAAGAAATAACTGAAAGCTTCAATTACCTATGTCTGCAATGCTTATTATTCACTTTACTATTTCAAATAGGGGATAATATGAAAAAATAGCAGCTCTTCTTTTTCTAGTAAACTCAAACAAAAGCAAAGGAAAATAAGCCAGAGTGGAAACAAGACTAAGGAAAGAAGGAATACATTTTTCTAATTCAACAAGAACTACATAATTAAAAAAGCAATGCCAACAAAGGCGTAAGTCATGAGAAATAAAAAAAATAAAACCTTAACTGGTATCAGTTGATGAAGGGTCACTTATTTATAAAGCAGAATATTTCACAAATTATGCTCCCCAACATGAAAATTTCAGGTGCCGCAGGCTGAGAACATGGCATTCAACAAGATCACAAAACTCAGTAAAGATGACGGGCCTTGTAGTCTCTCTCTGTGAACTAAACATTAACTAAAATAGAGGGGTTAAAGGCCTGTGTCTTAAGGATGCTAAATAGGTTGTAGGCGGAAACATGCCTTGATTAATTTTACTAATGACATATCAGCTATCTTAATGTTAAGCAGCCATTATAGGATGACAGATTGAAGAGTAATGTAGCATAAGGAAAATAAAAGTTACAGACAGACAGCTAAGTAATGGTGTCACCACGTGACACTATATAAACACATAAGGCTAGACTTCCTGTATGGGAAATAACAGTGTACTGGCGTGTTCATTTCAATTTATTTTTTAGTGGCAATTAAACTACCTAACACAATGATTTTTTGATAAAACATGACATTTTATAATCCAGTCAAATTTTGTGTTTTAATTCCAATGATCATCATTTATTAATCAAATAGAGGCTGAAATCCCTACCAATGATGCTTTCTGCAAATGCCCTGGGACAAGATGACATTCAACAGAGATTCCATAACTGAAAACCGAGTGCTGATACTGCATTCTCTCTTTCTTTAAAAAAAAAAAATCTGCTGATTAGGCAGCCACCATTTTATAAATTTCTGCTTTAGATGATCAAGGGAGAATTCAACAATACACATACACGTCAAAACTCAAAGACAGAGTGTTGTAGACTGGCTGATAGTCTTACCACAAAGTTATTAGAATCAGTTACTGAAGGGTGTCTGGTTTCAGTGAGGCAGACCTGAGTCAAGTGGTCTCCACCCTGGCTCTGTTCCAGAGGCAGGCCCGCAGTGGGACCCCTGCCACTCACCTTGACCCCCTGAGGTTCCAAATGGGCAACCAGGCTTAAGAATCATTGTTTCGGTCTCGCAACACAGGCAACTACTAAGAGTCCCTCACAGAGCCAGGTGTGCTCAGACCCCTTTCTAACTCTCTGATCTGAAGTTGGTCTTCTTCCATTTCAGTCCGATCGTAATGAGAAGCTCACTTCGGGAGCGTGCAGCTGCCGAGTAAATGCTGGATGTGTATTCATAGAATATTTATGGAGAAGCTGCCATCACTAGGCATTGTTCTAGGTACCAGTGTCATTGCAGTGAACAAAGACAAACAGAAATGCCTATTCTCATGCAGCTTATTCTGGTGTGGGGGTTTATGAATACGCAGACAGATAAAGTTTTATTTGTTTCTCTTTATCAACAGCATTTTGCTCATCTATATATAATAATTTGAAACTCTTACAGAGAGAAACACAATAAAATGGGAAAGTTTAATATAGATAAGGGAAAAATAAAAGTAGGAAAGCAATGATATTACAACCTCGGTGAACTTGAAAAGAATCCAGAGTAAATAGCCTGAAGGGTGGTCAGAAGGATTCAAAGGAAAAACAAATTGCAGGTGATGTTGAATGTAATGTAAAAAAAGTCAATACATTCAAAAACATAAAACCTAAACTCATTTAGAACAGTGATTCTGAGGTGCATTTTAAAGGCGCTGGAGGGTGGGCCCCCAGATGGCAGAGAGGCTCTGCAGATCCTCTCCCTCCCCCAAAACGACGGCACTGGGAAGTATTGTCAAAAATAACCCCTGCCGCTGCCTTAAATAAGGAAGGAACAGTTTCAGCTTCCAGACAAGTTATGTTGGTTGAATCACGTTAGTCTTCTGAGGTCTCTGGTCTATAATACCACGCATCCCTGCTCTCCTCTCCGGCCTCTGTTCACCCGCAGCGACACTTTCATCCTTTTTATGCACATTAGATGATTTTGTCACTCTGATTCTGAACTTCCCCCACCAGTCCTGATAGATTTTTGAAAAGTGAGCTTATTTCTGAAAGAGGTTTTTTATATCAACCCAATGTGTTTTATACGGCTCAGATGTTCATGTCAGGCCTCTAAGACACCCTTGTACATCTATCAGAAAATGATGACAGAGCTCTGCTGAACAATGGAGATGGAGAGAGACATGCAAGGGGGTAAAACAGAAGACTCCAGCCTCTCATTAGTGGGGAAAACACACAGGCACAGGACGCGGCCAAGTCCCCACCGAAAGACCAGAGCAGTTAAAAGAAAAGTGGAAGCTAACGACATGGCAGATAAGAAGCGGTCCTCTCTAGGGCAGCACGTGATGCTCCTTTCTGAGGGACAAGGAGCCTGTCCCACGCCTCCTGGCATGCTTCTGAATCAGTCTTTGCGGCAAAGAGATGATTTTGTTTAACTTTTTAATTATCAGGCGTCCTTGCTGCCAGACATTGTAAATGGCGCACATTTTCCCTCCCCATTATGGCTTTGACTTTACATTTAATTACTGTGGAAATGAATCAAGAAACATGACTTCGGGCACTGCATTTTAAATGTCAGCAGAGCACCACTGCTAATTCTCTGTTATCAGCATCATCCCGTCTTTATGATAAATGATGTGAAAATAATTTTAGGAAGGTTACCCACCTGGACACCCTGCAACCCATGGGAAGATCACCTGTTAGTTGCAACTTGGAAAGGTTTTCTTTGGATCATGACTTAGTTTTATTCTTTGCATATTCCTAACTACTTATAGATAAAGAAACTGCTCTTCAAGTATTACATATGAAAAGACCAGAACCTGTTACTTAGGTCTAAGTAAGTTAACAAAAGAGAATCTCCATGCATATCATCAAAATCCAGGCACATTCTCTTCTAATGCCTAAAATGAGTAGGAGTACATTATCTTTCATGTCATGAGCTATAAGCCATGGAAATGAAGGGAAGTTACTAAGTGGTTAGTCCTCCAGTAAAACATGGAGTTGGAAATGAGCAAACAAAAACCAACAGGAAGTTTACAATGACTTTCAAAGAGAGGAAGTTAGAGGCAAGTGGGTACCTTCGCATGCAGTCCAGGGCGCGGATAAAGAAGTCCTTGTGCAGCTGATGCTCGTCTCTCAGGATGGAGCACTGCTCGAGTGTCACTGACATCGACGTCCTGTCTTTGGCACTTTTACAACAGGTGAAACGAATGCCATTGAGTTTGCGACAAATCTGTAACACAGACGTACACACCATCAATCATTCATGTGCTGGTCATTCTAAAGGGTGGGACTCCTAAACTCTTCTTGTCCAAGCACACTCAGTGGGCTTACTCCATGATCGTCCGTTGGTTCGATCTGCCCTACTGAGTGTAAAAGCCACACCTTTTCGTTTCAAAAGCTAGTGGGATAGATTGTCTGTGGTTCTTTGTACGGTGTGAGGTATGGGGCTGCTGCAGCCATGGGGGATGGTAAACATTCAGGGGGGGCAGCAACGGTCCCTGCCACGGGGCCGAGCGGCAGGGTATGGCAGCAAGGGTCGCCCCTGGGGAACAACACCTTCACGGTGAAGGGGAAGGCCATTTATACATCCTAGAGTAGACACTTGACTTGAATCCTAAATAATGAATACCACCTTTGCTAATCTTGGTTTAATGATATGAAATGTCAAACAGCCATAAGGTCCCAGTGCAGCAGATGAGGGAACCACTAACCACTCATCAGTACAACTAATAAGAATAAAGACCAGTCCACCACGTATGGCCACTGCTAATTGTACATCTACTGGGTACCAGCATGCTAATAAATCTCATGTAGATTTGAAATTTAATTAACTGCACATGTACCCTGGAGGGACGTATGATTATTCTCAATTTACAGGTGAGGACAGTGAGGTTTGGATAGGTTAAGTAACTTGTGTACAACAGAGTAAAGTCAGGATGCTACTGTGATTCTTCTTCACTCTAAGAACCAAGGCTTGAACTTCCATCCTATTTTGTTTTTCTCTGTAATTCTTCCTCTCTGTTATTCTGATATAAATCAGGAGAAGCAATAATCTCTTTTCCCATCACCTTATAGTCAACAAGTGAATCATTCCATTCCTTTCTCTTCCCTATCTCATGATAGAGCCCTGATATGAGATACCAATAGTCAACTTTTGTATCAACAATGCTAAGCAACATGCATTTACAATAAATCTAATGTAATATAATACCAGCCTGCTTTACTACCTGCCACTGAGGAGGCTTTAATAGTTGCCTGCTTTGAGGAGAGGACACCGTTTATAAAGGGCTTAAACCATATTTTAATAGCAATTCTTATACTTAGCCTAGGATTTACCAGCCCTTGTTATACCTTGGGTAGTTTCTCACTATTCCCAACAGAAGTGATTAAAGAAATGTAAGAGAATGATTTCGACATACAATCTTTTGCCATCTAGAGAACTCCAATCCTTTCAAATAAACTGTATTTTTTAAAATTTTAATATCAAATAACAAAGATGGGACTATAGTCACAGTAATAAAATATAAACCTCAATGTCCACTTAGGAGATAGATTTTTTTTTAAAGAATGGATATTTAAGAAATATATTGTCACTGTTGTATGAAGGGGACATTCTACGGAGTAGGCAGGCTGGGTCTTCATCTCTGCGCTTCCACAACTTTTTCGAAGTCTAAGAGCCGAATTGGACACATAGGATTGTCATTGGGTCTCTAGAGTCTCATTTTTATTTTTAAAAATTCAGTTAAAATAAAATCAAATAGGTTTATATTTTTCAATTAGAAACTAAAATTTACCGAAAGGAGCATTTTCATTAATAGATTTAAAGGAGGGGGAAGGAAATAGAGGCAGAAGTAAAAGCTTTTTGGAAAATGTCAAAAGGGATATCTATATTTCTTCATTTTAAGGGTGTTATCAGGGTCCTTGATTTACAGGATATTGAAACTGAGCTATCAGCCTACAGATACGTTATTAATAATAAAGTCAGTGTTCCCACAGAATGCCAATTTTGCCCACTCTGGGTACTATGTGTCCCTCCAGGCGGGGCTCGCATGCAACAAGTTGTGAGTAAGCCATATTTGGTAGTGTATACATTTAGGAAAAAATATTTCATACATTAATGGAATTTATAAGAAAACTTTTTTATATTTTCAAATGGGAAAGTACATATACTAAGACAAACTGCACATTGTGTTTGCACATGAGCATCCTTCATTCTCCTATCTACACAACTGCATGATATGTATACAATGATATGTATCTGTCCCCAAGTTGTCAGAGCGCCTTGGTAAATGACCAAACTTCCTTCATGCTATCACGTTATTAGTGAAATAGCAAAAATAACTTACAACCTGTCCTTGTGAATTTTTTTGTGAGAGTTAACAACCATAGCAGTGTTTTGAAGACATAGAGAACAGCCTCACTGGGAAAGAACTATTAGAAACAACTTTCACATGATACAGTGTGGCGCTAAATGGAGCCAGTGTCAACGAGCTGCCATGTCTCATATTGTTACCTCTGATGTTCTTCCCTGGGGCTCCGAGAGAGCATGGAGGGAAACTGAAGCAGCTTCCCTCTGACCTGCTCTGGGTAAATTACTTTATATCTAGACTCATGGCCACTTACCCATTCCTTTCCCGCAGAACAGAGGAAATAATATTGGATTATAATTGAAGGCCTGGCAGTAGGGGAAAGGCTCTGCTTTAGACACAACTGATAGAGAATGGGAAGACTATGCTAGAAGATGGGGTAACCTAACTCCAAATTCCATGGGTAACACTGAGAAGAAACTACAAACATGGAATTTGAGAGATCTCCGAGGTGTGCCTTTCCTAATGAAACAATTCATTCCTGAGGGTCTGAATGTTCAGCAAAATCTGTAAGCTCACATGAGCTATGTCTGAATGGTTGCCAGATAAGAGTTTACAAAACACAAGCAAGATTCTTTTGCTCACTCTTGTAGAAATCTGGGGTGGAAAAGCAGAAAGATCTTCTATCCTGAGGGTGCCATTAAATGAGAAAGAACCATACCATATATAGCTCATTACCCCAACAGCAACCCGTCAGTAATATATCCTATGCCAATATCTAAATTAACAAACACATTTACAAGCTCATTAATTGAACAATATGTCCAGGAGCCGTACTGAGGCTGTGAGCCAGAGATCTGATAACCACATTCTGTTAAAATCATAAGTCTCTAGAGCATTATATGGGCAATTGACGTTGAAACATGTAACATCAAGAAAATTAAAGACACTTCCTTTTAACCTCGAAGTGTCAAACACATCCGGGATTTACAAGAAAAGCCAACGAGTAGCATAGGATTCTTTCTCACTGAGTTCATCTTCTTCCAACTTGTGTTCTACTCTATTGCTAGCACTGCCAATGACATGGAACACACTTAATCTCCTAGGCAATGGAGGAAGGCACCTGGTACCTCAGAGTGCTGAGGTTGGCCCTGACCTAGGAGACACCCAGGAAGCCTTGCTCATCCTCATGGTGACAGCGAGTAAGACCTGACAGGACAGCGCTTACCGTGGCAGCCAGCCACATGATTTCTACATTCTTCCTTTTTTTGGCTTGAATATTTTGATGGAGATTTTCTAGTAATCCTTTTAAATCATGTTGTTCCTGAAAATGTGAAATGTCTGAAAAAGAGTAAAAACAGTGTCAGTATTAAGGGCTCATGAAATTTTCCTCAATATATTTGCAAATGCTATTTGGATAATATATATGTGAGGATAAACATACTTATTAATCCTCTCGTTTTATCCTTTACTTATAAACATGTCTTATTTTCCCCATCCCCTATTCTGGCTGATTGCAGTAATATCAACTGGTCATATAACACCCTTATACTAGGAAGAAAACCATTCTTAATGATGATGAGTGCTTCAGTCATAGGATGGCACAGATGAGACATGAGAGAGAACCTTCCAGGTTTTACTATTGAATAGCCATTCTGAATCAAGGGAGTGTATGGGGTAAATATAGAAATTCGGCAAAGCGCTGTTTAGAGCAACCTCATGTCCAAGACACTTAGGCGACTTTTTTTACAAGATTCAGAGTCAGAGGCAGAGTCAAATCAAAAACCTAGTGTCCCAGCTCCAGAAATTGCCTCCACATCTGTGCTGGTGCCTTCACAGTCAGCCGTGGGTACCGAAGAACAGTTCCACTATTAACACGATGGACCGGCTTCTTCAGAATTCTGAGACTCCAGAATAAAGCATAATGATTTTTTCAAAATAATTTAGTTTCTTTGTTGACATAGACATTTTTTAATCAGCCATTTTAAAGCAACGATAAAGTTCTTAAATAGAAATCAACAGACCATTCTTTGCCCTAAAGATCATGCTCCAGCAGAGAGATGTGATGCGATGTTCCTGAGGAATTTCAGCCCCTCTCCCCATGGCGTGCCTTTTAGAAAGAAATTATTTTGATGTGCTTAAGGTTTTCAGGCCACTATTTCTATTTCTGTAATGATAAAACTTGTCTTATTCAGAGCATACCCCTATTGATTCAATACTTTGCTTGCTGCCATTTTTTTTTCAACCTGACAAAAATCTTGCAGCCCACAGAAATTCCTGAAAGAAGTATAAGTAATGACTAGTTTGTGGATTAACAGGAGAGATTTCAAGATATAATGATAGATCCTGATATATCCCCCGAAAATCATGGTCTACTTGGAACGTGGATTGGTTTGAGACTGAAAAATCAGTCTCTTCAAATGTAAATATTGCCAATAAATCTTGTTTTTGCTACTCACTCCTGCATCCCTCTAACACCAAATTTGGACAGAGTGGTGGATCTCTATTCCTGTCTCCACAGGAGCATTCTTTATTCAGATGGAGTTGCAGAATGTAATCAAAAGGCAAAAGATACCAGAATGTTCATTGCTTAGTTGTTTAATATTAAACAAAAAAATAAATTTCATAAAGAGAAACTTGTTTTATATTGTTGCAATGTAGTATATAATAGGCAAGATTCATAAATGCTGTATGTGTCAACATGGGTATATACTAAAAACTGTAAGATAAATCAATGCAGTATGTATCAACATGGATACATATTAAAAACTGTTGAGCAAAAACTGCAAATTATAAGAGGATTCCTATAGGATAAAGGCAATAATATAAACATGTAAAACTGTACCATATTTTCTATGGTTATATACATTTAGAGTAAAAATGTGTGTGAGAACGCAAAACACCAAATTCAGGGCATCGATTTTCTCAGAGATGTGAAGGTAAGAGATGGCAACCGAAAGGGGCTTCCCTGGTAACTGAAAATCTTTCTTTCTTACAAAATCTGTGAGGCAGAGGGATGAATTCCCCAGTATTCGAGTATTTGTTATTTTACGATCTTTTTTTCTGTTTGTTTAAAACTTTCATAATTGTTTTTAAAGAAAGAACTGAACCAAAAGTTCCAGGAAAATGATTTCTCGTAACAAACCTGCCCCTGTTCTGACATGTCATCTTAGGCGAGTTGCTTCACCCTCTGTCCTGATTTTCTTCAGTGCAAAATAAGGATATTAACTGTGCCAAGATTCATTGACTGGTGGTGGAAAACAATGAATAGAAGTCTTGGCAGAAAAGACTACATTATAAAATTCTGTGTTGACTCTGAAAAACACGGGAAGAGCTACTCACAGAGGAAGATGTTAGCAGCTCTTGGAAGAGATCATAGCCTCAGACAGGATGACTGCTTTCTCAGGCAAAAGTCAGAATTTATCCAAAGTAGAAAATGTTCTTGTCCACACATGCAGGCACACACCACAGTCTGGATCACGAACATTCACAAACCCAGGCCTGACTCTCACCACTTCCCGATGGAACAGAAAAGCCAAGTCCAGAGGAACTTTTCAGTACCCTGTTCATCCTTGTTTTGTCCAACAGGGCTTCCTCAACAGGGGTTCTGACTGTGGCGCTGGCCTGAATCAAAGGCAGGGCGCTGCCAAGGGAACAGGAGCGGGCCTGTGAACTCTCAGCTGACGGGACTGTAACCCTACACAGGCCAAGGCAATAGCCTCGTCATCTCATGGTCCATGGCTTCCGGTTGTCAGAGCGCTCCAAGGCGAAATGGAAACTACGGCTGTCTTCCCAGCTCCTGTTCCACCCATTTCCCACCGCAGAGCGGACACAAAATCTACACGGGATCGGTCACGTTCTCGCTCTGAAGTCTACTGGTACAAGCTCACCACCCTTGAAATCAGGACCAGTTCAGGGATGCACATCTACATCTAAGCCAATCTGAACTTGACTCTGACCTTGACCTTGACAATTGTTTCAGGGGTATGCGAGTGGCCTGTGATATCCCTGCTGAGTACAGCTCAGGACCCTGTAAAATGCAAGTGGGAAGAAAAGCTCTTTATCTCTTTGGTTGAGCATGGGAGTGATCATACCAGCCAGCCATGAGTCACGAGGGGACTAGATGTAGGGTAGGGTCCGTGCCAGGAGTACAGAGCAATGAAGTGGGATGGGGAGAGTCGTCTGAATATTGCGGAGACATGAAACCAACTATGTATCGAATAGGGATATGAAATATTGTAAAGCGAGGTTTCAATATTTTGCTTTTCCTTCTTAGCTCACAGGGCCAGAGAGCTCACCCGTAGAGCAGTGGCATGGAAGTTGACAAATAGAAGCATTCCAATAGACCTGTGTGACAGTATTCTTGTTTTGTTTGTTTGTAAAAAGGGAAAGACATAGGCATTATTACCAAGACAGAAGAGAGAGATCTGAAATGATAGAAGAAGCTGATACTTGGTTACTCCTCACTTAAAGAGTAGAGAAAAAAGCATTTCATCTAATCAAATCACCATCAGCTTGCTTCAAATCATGCAGCAAATGTGTCAGCGGCTCTAAAACATGGAACATTTTGTGCGAGTAATTTTAGAAGTGCTTTATTTTATTCTATTCTATTCTATTCTATTTTATTTGTGAACCCCGGATTTGTGTCCTGATGATCTAGGTGGGCACAAAGGAAGCCTTGAAAGCTTTCAGAGATTGTGAAACCCAATGGGAAGATCAGGGCCAGAAGAGGGAGAAGCACTCACGCCGGCCCTGCTAGTTTCCCCAGCTGAACCGAGAAGCCAGGTGGGTATGAGGGGAAGTAGATCCTGAGGATTTAATGTGCCTTAGAGTCAAGGCAGAGAGAACAGCTCCTGAGAGCTACACCATATTCTAAGGAAATGTGGAGGCAGGAATCCACGGCACACAGTCCCCAGAGAGAGCAAACACACTTCACTGATGAAACAGCTCTATCTGACACCCATTTCAGATATTTACTTCCTGATTCAGAGGAAGACTGAGCAAGGCTTTACAGGAAAGGGTTTGCCCATTCTTGAGATCACCCTACTTGACTTAAATAAACGCTTTTTCCATTAAATACTACTGCAAACATAGTTTTGTTTATATTATTAAATTTTCAGGTAATTAACAAATCTGAAAATCATAAGCGTGCTGGCTGCCAAAGAATCTCCCTGCACTTAATTTCATTTTGGCATGAAAGAGATCTTATGTGAAATAAAATAAAACAGCAGGCAAAATGTTCTAACTATACACACCTGGACATATATATGCCATTATACTATTTTGAGGCAAGATTCACTGTGTGATGAAAAGACCTAAACACTCTGCCGCTTAGGAGAGTTCAAGCTAAAGTGCCAGAATACCTCTATCAACAGATCAGTGAGCAGACTGCTAGTGATTCAGTGACAGGTAGACTTTCATTACAGCTTTTGGTTAAAATATTAAGCTATCTCTCACTTTATTAAAACCTAGTGTCTCACCATTGTGAATATCTCAGCATTTCAGCATATTTATACTACGTCTGAATGGACTCTAAAGGCATCCCCAGTTCTCCGAGTTGGGACTGCTCAAATGTTTTGTGCTGAGTTTTGGTGGTTTTTTTTTTTTGGAGTTGGGGGGGATTGTAAAACTGAACAATGGCCAAAGAAATGAAAACCGGAAAGTGTAAATCAAATTCCTATAGGCTTGGATGCCTTAACGTTTTTCACATAAATATTACAGTAACTATATTTGATCATTGGTTCCTTACATCATATCACTTTATACTCCCTATAGAACTTGGGTTCTACCTGACTTTGTCCTTGTATATGCATGATACATCCGATGTAGTTTATCAGTCAGAAACCTAAACCTTTACTGAAGTCTTTTACATGGTTGAGAATGACACAAAAATCTCTACTGGGCTCAATGGGGAGTATAACTTCCAGCATTTTGCATTGGCGCTGATGTTAACGTCCTAATATGAGCAGCGGGACACCTTCAAGAGAGCAATCACAGCAACCAGGCAGGCGTGGGCCAGGCCACCGTGGCAATCAGCCTTTTCTTGGCTCAAATAATCTCAAAGTTGCCCTCATGCAACCAGCACTTGCTCCTTCCTTCCACTGACCTCTCTGCCTGACACTTCTGAAGATTTATAATCAAGCAATTATTATTGTTGTTTTCCGTAACTCGCACACTTACAATCAGGAGGCATCTTTTCCATAAATATTGTGTAATATTCTTTGAGAAGTTCAAAATTTTCCTGATTAATACTTTCCTGCAAAGAAACATCTCCAAACCTAAAAACAGAAAAAAAGGCAACAGTTCTTGGTCATAAAGTAGCATCTGAAAAGAACACATTTTTATCTAAATAGATGGCCATCGTTTCCTACGGAGCCGCTCTCCATTTCTAAGCCGCGTTGCACAATAGCAATTTCAAACCCATTCCAGTCCCCACGGGCCCTCATTCCATCCATCCCTCTTGACACACCAACATATTCTTATAATCACCAATATAAACTGGAATGAGATAGCCGGTCTGAGACACCGGCCCCTGAGCCATGTCCGTAATTGACACTCACTTGACGTTAGTCTCCCCCGCTCTGCAAGCTGTAGCTCTGAGATATAAAATAAACCACCCTCTCTCTCTTTATCCCTCCAACCTTCCCCTTCACCCATGGCTCCTGAGGAGGGGTCTGGAGACGAGGAACGGACACGGGGCTGCAGACAGGCTCACACACCCCGACAGAGCTGTCGGCACATGCAGAGCCCTCCGGTCTCCCAGAGGGTAATCCCGCCAACGTTGTTTTATGACCACACCATGAAGGCCTAGACCCTCTGCACTGGCGCGCCATCTTCTGCCTCTTTCTCAAGATAAAACTTTTTACCTATATCTCTCTGATTTTGGGTTTTCAGTAAGCATTTCCTAGGTTTAAACTTAAAATCCACTGGTCTGTAACAGGACGCTATGTAAATGGCTTCCAACAGGTGTCTCTCCAGCTAAATATCTTCATTCAAGTCTGTATTTTCCAGATGCCAGTTGAAAATGTGAGTGTGACTTATCCCACCCCGATTTAATGTAATCTCACCAAAAACTGCAACCACCTCCTTCTTTCGTCTAGAAATAAATATATTTTGCCATTCACCCGGGTTCCAAATCTGAACACCTGTTTAGATTTACAAAATTGGTAGTTACAAAGCAGTCAGATGTAAAGTACAGCCTAAAGAATAGAGTCGGTGGTATTGTGATAACCATGTACGGTGCCAGGTGGGCACTGGACATATCAGAGGGAACCCTTTGTAAAGTGTAGGACTGTCTAACCACTATGCGGTACACCTGCGGCTAACACAACAATAGTGAATGTAAACTGTAATCGGGGAAAAATAATAAGGTAAATAAATAAATAAAAAGAAAACCTGAAGCACCGATCTTACACTCCAAGCTTACCTCTCAGCAAGAGTTTGCTGTTCATTGATACCGATGTTAAAAAGTACAGGATACACATGGAGTAACTGCCCTTCTTTAACCTGTAGAGGAAGAGACTCAAACATTCTCGCTGGAAGCTTCACCTCGACCACGTAATGTTCACTGAGGAAAATGGGGACAAACAGAAGAAGCATTGCTTATTTCATCTGCTTTTATGTTAGATTGATAGGAAATAAACAAAAAGTTGGAATATAGGACTGATTTAGGTTTTTGGCTGTGATCCTCTTATCTTCTGTCATTAATTTAGTCAATAATCATTTCATTCACCTTGCTATTACATTACTTGGTATAAAGATTGTTTCTGTCTTTGATTTCTCTCTATCACTGAGTTCCTTTGGAAAAGGAAGGATGTTTCAGATCATTCTTGTATATCAGAACCATGCGCATAAGAACCTCAATATTTGTTTTCTTGATTTAGTTACTTTTAAAACACAACCAATATCAAGAAAAACAAAGTAACTTAAGGATTTTTAAAAATAGAGTGAATCTTGCCCTGCCTGCTGTGGCTCAGTGGATTGAGTGCTGGCCTGTTAACCAAAGGGTCGTGGTTTGATTCCCAGTCAGGGCACATGCCTGGGTTGCAGGCCAGGTCCCTGGTAGGGGGAGTGCAAGAGGCAACCACACATTAATGTTTCTCTCCTTCTCTTTCTCCCTTCTCCTCTCTCTAAGAATAAATAAATAAAATCTTTCAAAAAATACAGTGATTCTAATAAGTCAAATAATTTATAATATTTTTAACAATCATTGCCCGATTGTTATTGATAAATCTCCCTTTTTGTGTTGGTCTGATGACAATGTAATAGTTTCATTATTTAAGTTTAACCTTTGGGAGTTCCTTATCATTTTGCAACATTAGCATACAACAGGGACATTTTCTGGAAGTTGGAAATTTCCCTCAAAAAGTACTCCTAGTATTCAGTGTTGAAAACTTAAATTAGGATGCACAAAATATGGCCAACAAGAAGAGCTACTTGTGTATTTTGAAATTTGACAGTGTGGAGTGAACACAGATGTAGAGGATTTTGACCAGAATTTAGAAAAATACACGTGATTCCAGGACTACGTAGACTGCTGGGATTATAATACGTGTATTGTGTTATACAGGACAATTAAAGAATCTCTTTGTGAAACATTTTAATTTTGCCTACACATGTAGATAATCAATTGTCACAGGAACATTTTTTGAAAAGATTCTCCAGTGATTTGTTTTGGCACATTTGTTGAAATTGACTCTAAAGATAAAAGTTTATTTGTGGACTCTATATATTGTTTAATTTACATATATGTATATACTTATGCCAGTAATATATGGTCTTGATTATTGTAGTTTTATAGTAAGTTTGAAATCAGAAAGTGTAAGTCCTCCAACTTTGTTATCCTTTTATAAAATTGTTTTCCGCATTATGGGTTCTTTGTATTTTCAGGTAAATTTTAGATTTAGCTTGCCAATTTATGCAAAAAAATACAACTGAGATTTACACAGTGATTACATTGAATCTATAGATGAATTTGTGGAGAACTGCCATCTAAGCAATATTGAGAATTCTAATTTGTGAACATGGACTGTCTTTCCACTTACTCAATCTTATTAATTTCTCTAAGCACTGCTTTGTGTGTTCTATGTACAGTGCTTAAGAGTACTTTGTTGAATTTAGTCTGATGTAATTATTATTTGTTGATGTTTTCATGAAGGAAATTACCACTGTTTCTGACAACTTTTTGGGAATGTGCTTTTTTCTGCTTTCCAGTCCAAATCCAGTCGACCTCCCTTCGCTGGAAGTGAGACTGCTGGTTTTCCTGGGCTGCCTTCTCCTCCTCTCGCTGTGCAGACAGAGCTGGGGGTACCGGGAGCAACCCCTGCCAAAAAGGCCACAGAACCCCCGACTGTCCCATCCGATGCGCATGCATTTTCCATGAATAAGTGCTTCTAAATGTGTGTGTGCGTTATTATTCCCTTAGTCCTAAGAGAACTGCCTTAGGCAATTCTGGCCATTTGTGATGTTGCTTTCTGAAGAGTGGAGCTGCCGGGCTGCTCACTGGGCCATTCTAGAACTCCCACCTCCCCCTGTATGGCACCTTCTGAAGTTAGACACAGCCTGAAGAATCCCCTCAGAAACGGGCTCCTGTCCTCTGCCCATATAAAATGGCCTGGTAAGCATCCCTCAAAAATTGTGGTCTAAGTATCAGTTTCTCATTTTTGATAAGAATCTTTATAGCATTTAGAGTGGTACTATTTTCCAGGTGTGTGTAATGAGCAATTTAACTCCTCTTTCTTCCAATGAATGGCAAATTAAGCATTATTTGGCAGATGAAATAGTTTTATGAGAATGTGTTTTTTCTGTATGTATAAGGTAAGGGGGAGCCACCTTTCATTCCACCATGTATCTCAAGTCATCCTTCGCACAACATTTAAAATAATTATCATATATTTACTGTAGTCAAGGAAGCAACTAGTTTGAACTTAGTCTCTTCTTCATCTCTCTAGCATACACATGGCTCTCTCTTTAGTACACTCATATTTATTCATTGTGGTCTGAGAATGTTTTCAAATATCAAATATCCTCAGGAAGCACTGAAAAGTGCTGAAACCAGAATGGTTAAAATTTGGAGGACTTCTGATTGAAATGATTTACCATAGGATATAATTCTTCAGTTAGAGGTCTATACCACACACTGTCATTTTTCTTAATTATTTCTGATATTCTGCCCATCATGTGCTGACCTTCGAAGCTATTTATTTAAAACCATTCTCGGAAATCTTGGTCTGGGAGTGAATTATCAAAAATAATTAAGAAAAATGGTGGTATATGCTCCTGACATAGAAATACATCTTTTCTAAAATGTTGCTGCTTTTAACAGAATTTAATATGAAGTCATCTCAAGAATTACGATGCTATTAACCAAATGATTTCAGCAGCAAAAGTTAAAATACCCAGACCTTTACACTAGATGGTCACAAAGAGAAACGTGTTCTCATGCAAGCTGTGTTCTTGAATTCTTCATGTTTCATGGGGAGGCAATGCCATGCTCACCTCACTACTGTACAATTTACAGTCAGGAGACTTGCAGGCCTTTTTCAAGATCTTCCCCTGTCATGTCACCTATGTGTGTTTCTCACCAAAAAGGAAGAGAACAAAAGAAAAAATCCAACACGAGCCTTAGTTCTCCTTGGCTCCTTCGTCAAGAATCAATACAAACATCTCACAAAGCTTGGTCTTCAGGACCTGGGCACCACTCACCGTCTCCCTGTGATCACCGGCAAGACGTCATTGGATGTGGCTTCAACTATTTTAAAGGCGACTTTCTTCAAATCAGAAATGCCCACCGCCATGTCCTCCAGCATTCCGATCTCATCACCTAAACGGAGAAAGGGGCCCGGTTACAACACACTCTGTGGAGAAAATGTCGCTTGGTAGTCGGCTTCATGGCTGGCCTTTGTTCTGGCATTTTAGTGAATGAGTTTGAGAAGGCAGCGGATCCACTCTCAGCGCTTTTCCTCAGAGGCTGAAGGTTTTTGTCAGTGAGGTGAGAGCCACGCCAATGGACACCAGCCGTTCCGGGACCCTTTGGTGGCGGGAGAATGTACTCATTTGCTGGGAGGCTGGAGAGATGTTTTGACTCTTTTGTGAAACAAAGTGTTGGGTGGATCTCTTTCCATTGGCAGGACTAATATTTGATTTCTAGAAATAATAGCAATGGCTGAATTGAAGATCCTACGTAGGAGACTCAGGCTACTTTTATATCTAAATACGCTGATAAATAAAACCTAAGAAGAAGGTAATCAAGCACAATTCTAGATTAGCACTGTCTAAAGGAAACTGAATGAGAGCCACATATATAATTTCCAATTTTCTGGTAGCCATATATTTAAAAGACTAAAATGAAGGGGTAAAATAAATTTTAATAACGTATTTTACTTTAACTCGATGTGTCTAAAATATCATTTCATTTCTAAATCAATAGAAAATAATTATTAATATAAAACTCTTTTTTTTTTACTGTCTTTTAATCTGGAATACACGTCGAGTACAGATTGATTTGGATCAGATCCATTTCAAGTGCTCAACAGCCATACCAGGCTATGAACTGAACGGCGCACTTCTAGACATGGGAGGGCTGGACTTGAAAAATCCAGTCATTGAAACTATGATGGCAAAGAGCCTTTCAGGCGAAAAAAGCCAGACAGCTGCTTAGGTCTCCGCTATGAAATAGTCTGCAATTCAATTTTTGTAACATAATGGGAGTAAAAGTACAGTTACCAAGTGAATGCAAAGAATGAAAAGTTACATTATTTCTGTAATGCTTGATGCAATAAAGTTTGACTTCCCATTTTTATGTTTAACAGAAGAATCCAAGGTCCAAATGCCCTATGAAGTGGAGCACGACTTTCACGCGCGCTGAAGCTGCCCATACTCACTGTATGTACTTAGCAGGCCTTCGTATTGCACTATCAGTCCCACTGTGTGAAGCTGCTGTAGGAAGCCAGGGTCATGCAGACTTGTGTGTAACTTGATGATGAAACCACAAACCAATCCAGCAAGCTAGAAAAAAATCATTAAAGAAATGGATGGGGGTCAGCAAGCTTTCATTTAAAGATATTAAAGACTTCCGAGGCATCAGAGATTTAATTAAAATTTTCCAAGGATGTGTAATGAGACCCTGCACTCTACACTGGAACCAGTCAATGGTCTTCACTCGAGGGAGGCTTGGGGAGAGCAGCGCCGTGAACGGGACCAGAGGACAGCTCTGGGGTCGGGCTGGCACGCTTACAGAGCCTATCTACCATTCCCGGCAGTAAAACAATAAAAAGTTAATTAACACTTAACAAATACTCTTTGCACATGTAGAATAGAGACAGGGGTAGTCATTTCATAGAGCCATGGAAAAGACCCAGCAAAGAAATGTGTGTCAGTTAGAGCCTAATGCCCAACACACAGCTCCATTCATCGCTGGACCGTCCGTGAAATCATGAGGAATGGACAGTTGGCTTGAAATATTCCCTTTGCCTGGAAAGTCTAGAAGAAGAGGCCTTCTGCCTCCCTCCCTCCTTGTGGCTGTCTATAAAGCTCGATAATGAGTGGAGGTGGGGGGAGAAGGGAGGCCCCCCTTCACGCCAATGTGATGAGGACCGGCCTTGGAGCCCTGGAATCGGGTTGGGTGGAGGCAGGGGAGATGGCCTGTCGATCTTCCCGTTCAAGCCTTCCTGCTGGCAAATTTATTTCATTCATAAGAGACCATTACAAGGCCCACCCTGGGATGAATGAAGGAGATGTATAAATAGCCAGCTGTACACAGGCCCCGTTGCCAGTCCTAGCTGGCCACCTGCAGTGAAAGGCAGCTGTCTCTTTCCTTCTGCGATGCCCTGTGCGGGACCCCAAGGCATAATACAGTGACAGCGTGGTTGACCCTTTCCTTTACAGCCGCTCTGCTCTGTGAAATAGAAGGTACATTTCAGAGACTTGGCCACCTCTTTGCAGAAATAAACACTAAGCTCTTATGAACTGTTTCCATGTAATTTTTGGTTCATATTTATTATGAATAAGAAAAACTGGTTACCAAAACTGTCAGGAAAGGATCCCTTTAAAAGTGCAACCACCCAGGGAAGACCTCTGTCCTCATGGAGGATAGCACTGAACAACCCCATGCTGCGCTGGGCCCACAACACAAGAGGCACCTACTGCTTGGCTGAAGACGATGTCCCTTCTCAGGGTCAGCATCAGACACTGGGGCAAGCTGTACGCCAGCTCCTGGAGGAGCACGAAGGTCAGGGACTGCTTGGCTCGATTCACCACTTCCTCCATGCAGCCCTTCAGGGTCAGGATGAGCGGGTACAGCTGTTCATACCAGTCCTCTGAGGGGGGAGAGGGGCACAAAAGCAGTGGGAAAGGTGACAAAAGGGCTCGGAAGACAGAACCAATTTATTAGTTTTTCAGTCAAGTGATACTTATCATTCAGGACTCACAAAGATTAGAATTGAAGATCTTCCATTGAAACCTCTCCTCTGAACTCCAGACGTCTGTAAGCAGCTGCTTACTGGGTGTATGTGGGTGCATTTAACACGCTGACGTTAGAACCCCTCTCCTCTTGGCTCATCTCTAGCCTATGCACTGCCTTTATCTTAGTGGTCACCTAACTCTTCCCACGCTGGAAGCACAAGTGGTCCTGGACTTCTACAGTTTTCAGCTTGACTGGTGCGTTAAATTAGTGCTACTGCTGTAACAACGCATCAGACAGTCGCCTCGCCCTCAGCCATGAGCACTTACCACTCTCCTTGGATCCTTTGCTATCCCGCTCCCTCACTACTCTTTCTCCCTCCAGCCAAACCCGCTCAAATCAGTTCGAAGTCCATCCCATCACTCACTCTCTGGCTTCCTTTCTTAAATACTCTTTAAATACTGAAGTATTCAGAATAAAGTCCACATGTGTAAAAGATCCTCCATTATCTGACTGTGCCGCTAGTCTCATCTCTCAGAACTTCGTCGCTTGCAGCCTTAGTTCCAGTGAACTGAACACGTTTCCCAGACCCTGGGCCTCTCTTCCATCTCAGGGCCTGCGAATCCCGCCTCCAATCCTGGAACACCTTTCCTGCGCACCCATCCGGACACGCACGAATCTCATCTGCAGACTCAGTTCAGGATTTCCTCCGAACGAGCTTAAGGAACATAACCCGTTTACCAAAGTCTGGGTTGAGTTCACTTTCTTTCCTGCCCACAGCTCCCTTTTCTCACTGTTCTAGAACTGCCTACACACTGTTGCTCAGCAAGAAGAGGGAGCTCACTGAGGACAAGGGATTTAGGTTTTAATCACGGAACCTCCATAACCTAGGATCGTGTCTAACGTACAACAGGTACTCAATCAGTTTTAACTGAATGGGTAAAGTTACAAAAAATATATAACAAAAGCCTTCTAAGAAATGGACTAGCATGAGGAAATCATATTTTTGACAGTATTTGGAATTTGAGTAGGTTTCTCTTCAAACCAAGATACAAAATTGGACCCCTCTGTAGTTTTGGTATGCCTAGATTTCTAATGTGTTTCAGTGATAAAATTATGACTTTGACATATGATATAGATGTGATTTTCAGTGTGTTAGAAAAGCAAAGCCTTGACAAATGTCAAATATTACAAATTCCAGACTGTGTGACATTCCATTAAAATATAAATAATAGTATGACAGATAGGATTTAAAGAAATAAGTGCATGTTGAAAAATTAATTATGAATCAAGATCTGAAATTATATGAATTTCTCAGCACCAAAGTGTAAGCTTCATCATGAGTAATGTGAGTGGTCAAGAACCAGTTAAGACTTTGGAAGAATAATAGGGAACAATAAAAAGAATCATAATCACTATTGTGTCATGTTGGCTGTCACTTATTTATTTTATGTTGTGGTGTCATAAACTAAATAAAATAAACCAAAATGGTTGAAAGGGTAATTAATGACATCAATGTAATAAAAAGATATGCTCTTGTCAATACTCTGTCAATGCTTATGTGACGCTATGATGAAAAATACCTCAGGGACATTGGGAATTCTTTAAAATACTGTAGAATTAAGTCTTATGCTATGAATAAAAAACACTAGAGAAAGGGTAATTCAATGAAGGCCTATTAAATCTGTAATCATTTAATAAAGGACTCCACTTTTGGGTGGTCTACAATAAAATATAAACAGTTCAATTTAAACAATCACTGGTTACCTATTGATTCTAAAGCCATCACCACGTGTAAAAAGGCAAATGGAGAAGATCACTTACTTTCTGAAGAAAAGGCATACCAATAGAGGCCAAGAAGGAATACTCTATATTAAGTTGTTTTCACATTTACAGTCTTTTATGTCCCATTCTCTCTCCCACTCTCTTATTTAATGCTTGTTCTCAACATGAACGTATAGACTAAAACATGCACATATAAAGAAAATAAGTATTTCAATAAATGGACCCAGATGTAGATCTTGAAATACAACAGACTACAAACCAATGTTTTGTGCTTTTTTGTGCTGCGTTCTGGAGAGATGAGTTTCTACCAACAAATTCTCAAGTATAAACAAGCTCGAGCAGCAGGTGGCGCTGCTTTCTCAGGCTGCAGTAGGACCACTTGGTCCCTGCAACTGATTTGAACTTCATAGGTGTGCTTAGTTCCCAAGCAGCATTTATATGTTGTTTGGGCACCGTGCATCATACCAGCCTGTGGCAAGTGGTCAAAAACTTGGTCATGGGTGTCACATACTCATTCTAGTTAGAAAATGGAAAATTGACTGGAGTCTACATTTTTTCCCTTGTTAGAGACCAAGTAGCAGCTCAAATTAAAGGTGGCTGTATGGGTTTTTTTTTTTAAGTCTTTAAAAGAGGAATTGTCATAAATTTCTTTATTAATATCAGAATAATTTCTTTATTCATTTCTAAACCTATCCTCACACTTATTTGACCTGTGGATTCTTAATTGCAAATTGCAATAAGTATAAAAAAAAAAGTCTAATTTCTAGTCCTACTAGAATAAAAGTAAAAACCTGGAATAAAGAAAAAAGAAAATATACTAATACTCTAACCCTAAGAGCATTGTTAGATACTTGTCTGATACTAACAGTATTCCAGTATCTCCATTTTACTATAATTACATACACTTTTTATGACTAAAATTTAAGGAAAATGACAATATAAAAACATTAGTTATGAATGATAAAATTATAAGTTTTTGAGCAAGGTAGAATGTCTTAAAGATGGTAGTAAGCTTCTAATGGAGAAGCATATGAGAGCTAAAAATACTTTTTTTCTCCAACAGATAAAGAAATTCAGCATTTGCAGTGGCAAATGCAAATTGCAATGACTCCAGGTTTTGTTCCCTCAAAATATTCACTCAGTGTGAATCTCAGTTCTGAAATAAACACAATGCGGTAAGACAGGCCAAAGAAAGGCCGGAGTGAGTTCAGCCTTTTTGCTCTGATGAGCATCCAAATCACTCTCACAAAAGAACAGCAAATGCTTTAGTTTTCTCCTGAAAAATAGTTTTTGAGGAAAGGGACAAGCTGCATTTTTTGACAATTTTAAGGCCGTTGGTTGTCCCTTCCCCTTTACCTTTGTGTCTCTCCATATGTCATATCTGACACAGTGTTTATATTGTCCTAATGATAAAGCCATTTCCTAACAGTGATGAAGATGATATCCATTCTGCATTATTTAGTCAAAGTAGGGAATGCTGAAATGCATACCTCCACTCTTCCGAGTTTGGTTTCTCCAAGTTTCAGCTTGGAGTTTGCACGCACGCACACACACACACACATACACACTCGTGATACACCCAGTGAGGCTGGGCAGCTAAGGGGTCACTGAAGTATCGTCACTGCACCAACACCTCTCCAGGAGCTAACTGGTCCAGCTGGCACCAAAGTGCCTGCATTTCTGATTCTATCCCCTGGGCTCTTCTCCGTGACAGAGGAAAACACAAAAAGCACATTTTAGTTTCTGTATAAAAACTTGCTGAAACCCCTTAACCCTGAGACCGAGTGGAATGTTTCCTCAGGAAAACAAGATGTGCGTGGCGTAGCTGAGCTTTGTGAAGTGTGCTGGAAGACGCCCAAGCAGAACCTGTTTTCCAGCCCTGACTGGCTTCTTTAACATATTCAAGTAAAGCTTCCTGAAGGATTCAAAGAAGGGCTGCCAGGCGCACCCTCACCTCCTCCACACACGATCTACTTCCTGTCCAGGACACTCACGTCCTTGGAACTCAATGGCATTTATGTTCCTCAGGAGAAACATAACAGAGCCAAACACCAACCAACTGTAGCAGGGCCTAATGCTTCCTTTCTCATTTCTCAGCCCTTTTCTTTGTAGGTGCTTGGTCTTCTTTGTTCATTTGAAACAATTAACTTCACACACACTTGTAGCCATTGTTATTTTCATTATCACGGCTTTTCAGACATAGAAAACAAAGACGTTAAAACATCACCATCCCATTAAACTGTATGCAAAGAGATAAGAGAAGAAATGAGCCCAGCTTTGGGGGCTCACCTAAGTTAAGAAGATGATGAACTGTGACGCCAGGCAATTGCAAAGGCCTTTAAGACGGGTGATAAAATTGCCAAAGTTGTGAGAAGAACAGAGGCCAAACCCCCAGCCAATGGGCTTTCATATGGTGCCCAAATCTCACAGAACAAGGGCAGTGGGTTCATGGTTAGGGGCTGGAAATAAGGAATAAAGGTATTCCTGCCCATGGAGTCCTTGTGGTTTTTGAAGGGCTCATGTCCCACATCAGCCCAGATACAGCAGTCTCTGTGCCCCCTTGAAGGAAGGCCCTGTTCTCCAGGTAGGATTTTACAACGTGACCACCATAACTGGAGGGGTCCATTAAGGCTTTCCCCCCAGACACCTTATAGCTAAACTCCTGCGTATGAGTATGATAAACATGGCCGACTTTGGTCACAAAACCTGCTCGTAGAAGGCCTTCACATTTCCGGACATATCCCAGGGTTATGGAGCACAGAAACCAGGCTGCTCCAGACACAGGGAAAGGGAACACCTGCTGAGGCCTAGCCCTGCCCATCCTTAGCATCCTTCCCCTGGCCTTGGTCCAGGAATTAAAAAATTAACCTGCATATATACCTTTCGTTAACAAATGCTAACCTCTCTTCTTTATATCACTTTTTTCTCCTCCTTTTCACTGCTGCCATGAGAATTATACTCATTTGTTAGACAAATAGAACCCCCTGGTAGTGAGGTTCTATGAGTGATTCTAATACTTACAACTCACGGCCCCTGCCGTCGAGGAGGTGAAAGCAGAGAAGGGAAGGTGCGAGGTATAAAGCGATACCTAGGATATCAGGAAGACGGTTAGTGTTATAAAAGATGGGACAG